AGATGTTCGGAAATTCAGACCATATTATGGTATTTTCTGTGCTAAAACGTATTTTTCCTCTGACTCCAAAGGCTCAGAACAGATTGTATATGTCCTTAAGTTTATCTGTAAAGGAATCTTGATCGCTCATGTAATGTAATGTCCAGAAGCACATTTTACACCATACAGCTGCAATTAAAAGAAAAAGATTCCAACAGTTTTTAGTAAGAACACTACACCAAGTCTGGTGAAATGGTGCTAACTTTGCAATAGACTCTGTCCCACCGGAGCTAAATTCTGGAACTCTAGAGAACCTGGTAACTTACTTTGTCATTTCAAGTATGCTATTTTGCAAACGCATATGGGAAACTGCTCAGAGACCTAACCTGATGATGCTAAGCCGCTGCCTCTTAAATGGAGAAAACCAGAGCATGATGCACTTGTTTTGTAGTGCGACTCTTAATGCCACAAGTCTTATCAACTATTGAGTCATTGGGAAAGTCATGACGCATTTTTGCACTGAAAAACATAGAAAAATACATCATGACTTTCCCGACGACCCAATATATAAAAGTAGCAGCAAATTTCATAACCAAGAAACAAAATTGTTTCACAGGGAGCCCTTCCTTGGGATCTGGGATGATGTAGAAATGTTACTGGCAAGCCCTATAGAAAAATGCTTGTCCTTCAGTGGCTAGCACTTTAGAGCCACGTGCCCTTGAAGTATTTATTATTAGTCTGATGTATATAACTGCGCAGAATACTGAACTGACCTTCATCTCTTCCTTAAAAAAATGTAGCATGTTTACAATAGTTTGTGATTTCACTAGGCGGTGGTCTCCTCTACCACTCCAGTTATATTGATCCAAGGTGGAGATGCCAGAACTGCCTCAGTACTGTGTAGTACTGAGGAAGAGGTCAACAGCCTCAGGAAAAGGAGAATATTAGAACGATGTTGTTACTTTAGACCAGATAGCCTTTAGACCTTCAAGCCATGGGAGGCCTAGAAGACAGTGCCTTCGCTAAGGTGCTGGGGCATGCACTGATGGTGGGGACACCAATCACTGAACAGCTCCGTGGTGGCTTCCTCTCTGTGCCAGGGCCAACAGCAGATAGTGCCTCTTTTCAATAGGATGGCAGGGTTCCAAAATGCAGACACGAAAATGCCAGATGGAAGGTAGACATGCTTACTATAATGGGCGGCAAGGCTAGCATGGTGTCTTGCTCCTCAGGGATCTGTGGCCGTAGTGAATACAGCATGGTGGCCTGACGGATAAGATAAGGTAGACAGAAACCAACGAGAGCTGTACTTGTACAACATTAACAAAAAAGTTAAGAGCTGGGGAGTGAACTTGTGATAATTCTCCACTTCAGTGGAAAACCATGGTCCTTCATCAGGTTTCCAGATCCAAGGTCACCATTAACAGACCCAGAACCCATGTGTTTGAAGGGAGACCATGACCCTTGATAAAGGCTCTTGCAACACTGGGACAAATAAATATTCCCCCAAAGCAAGCTTTTGCTATTTGACATCGTAACTGTACACAATGAAGAAAGCAAAAATTCTGCTAAAACCTTATCTGTTAGAAATGACTATTGTTAATCTTATATGAGCAACATTTCCAGAAATTTCTGTGAGAGATAGATAAATAACAGGGTAAGTAGATCTATAGACAAAAACAATTTTTTAGAGACAGGCTCATGCTGTTGTATGTTTGCCACTTTTTATGAAAATATTTAATTTTGTATGAAATTCATTGAAGTAAAAAACCAAGACAAACTGAAGGAATTCCTGAAGTTTAGAAGATGTTTTTTTCCATATGAGAGATGATTTCTTAGGACAGTAAGAAATAAAGGTTAAAAATACATTGAGGTTAGAGTCATTTTTAAATTTTATGGTTCAATTTTGAGAGCATTCGTTTGCTCCTTACTATAAAAAAATAAAATTAACATGCTACGCTTCCTTCTACCCAGCCCTATCACTCTATTTTGTCAATTATAGTATTATTTATACATTTGGAGGTTTGTAACATTCATATTTTGTTCTATAACCATAATTATATAGTTAGTTTTTTAATTTAACTCAATTATATGCTTACCACCAGGACGCTGAGCACAACTCCATATCTGAGCCCTTTTCTTTGATTCATCTGTTGACTACTGATATCACCATTAGCCAGCCTTCATTAAGCAGGTTCCCTGGTGGTGGTATATCCTATTTCCCCTGCAGCGTATATTATAGGTTCTGGATCAGCTTGACCTAGAGACCCCACTGACCACTCAACATTCATCCCTGGGAATGCACTGTACTTTTGCATCCTTCACTTTTTCCATGGTTTACTACCTTCCGGTCACCACTAACTCCATTAGACTTTAGTGTTGGTTAACCAGAAGTTCCTAGTAGTCCAAGGTAAGGAGGATATGCTACTGTGTGTTTACCTTTGATATGTTCCCACAAGTAAAGGACCAAACTGGAAAACCCAAAGAACTCTTTTAACATTTACTTACATGACAGGGACTAGAAACCAGTAAAACCTTGAATTTAAACATAGGTCCACCTTGATGATAGCCTTTGTGGTCATAAATATAATCATCAAGATGTTTCCAGAACATTAGGGTTTTTCTCCTGGACTCTTACCATTTATCAGGAAAGGGCACACTTGCCAGAAGATACAGTGAGGAAACCTAGGCAAAGACCAGGAATGGCTCATAACATCTAGAAGTTGGCCAAGGAGTGTTGGGCTAAGCAGACAAGCCTGCACGATTTCACCTTAAAAGGCTCCAGCAACCTTGAGATGTGTTCATTAATTAGTATCACTGAGCAACAGGCCCCAACAGCAAACTAATAATTATGAACATCTATGTTTAGGCTTGAAATTCCATTATCCATTTGACTTGTTCCTGATTTTTAAAAAATGAATAAACTGAAATTTGAGCATGGGCAGGGCCATTGATCAGTCTGTCAGAGCTCCTCAGATGACTCAGAGAACGTTGCTGTGAAAGTGCATTATGCCTAGAACCCAGAGCGAGATGGCGCCATTACTGACCATCTCACAGTGACAGCTGTTCATGCGTCTTTTCTTGGGGAAAAATCTGTAATTCTTCTCCCTCAATTTTAGGCCAATTGGTTACTTTTCGCTAGAGTACTGTAAAATATTTTGCTTTCTATCAGTTTTCAATCACATCCATTCTCCTAGTTTTTCTGAGGCTTTTAAGAAGATTTCAGGAGAACTTTCCACTTCCTTCTATTTCCTTTCAGTGTGTAAAACACTTGAATGATTTTAAGTAAAATTTATAATTTTGTTATAATGATGCTTGATATCATAACACACTGAGTAGAAATAATAATGTGTCCTAGAACTGAAAGTATTCTAACTCAATAATTCATACACTGGCTACCTGAAAGAAAACTGCAGTAATATCAATAAATTTTTAAATTCTAACCTTTGTTGGGATTAGCATTGTATTATAGTTCTGTGAACCGCAGAATAATAAAACATGCACATTTATTTTAAATAAGCAAAGAAAAATTTTCTTCATTACTTGGTATAGTGCATAAGGAGAAAACTTTTATATTATTTTTCCTGTATATTGCCAATAGTGGAATAATGTGGAAAAAGATTCCTAAAATTTAAATAAACCTAAATTCACTAGAATGCATCTTTATCCTCAAATGCAAAATAAATTTTTCCATATTATTTTATATATTATTTTGTTCTGATAAATATATACATTCCAGAGTTAGTATACTTTCCTTCTAAATAGTATAATAAATTTATGAGTGGTCAGAAATTTATTGCTGATCTCCCGATTCTCTAAGAAAAATCACAATAAGAAAAAATTTTGAAACCTGTGTTTAAAAGTAAATTTAATTTGTGTTTTGATTCTTAATTTGCAAGTTGAGGATGAGAATTTTAAGTCTCAAAAGAAAATGACTTCTGAAATTTAGTGCAGCATGCTTGCTTGGAGAAATGAATGCTATCGCTTTAAGATAAGGTAGTCTGGTGATTCATTGCACGAAACAAGATCGATTTGGAGGAGGCTCCTACTGTTAGCTTTTTTGAAGATGGATTCTCACGCCTAAAATAACACAACATATTCTAGATAACAGCAGTTTTTTCCCCTGAAATCCACCAAAACTGAAGAAAAATCCAAGTGACTGTTCTTAGCAGCTGTGTGGCCTGGAGTTCACGGGGGAAGCTGGCTTCCTGCAGTCCCCTATTCATCACCTGCTTCAAAGACAGCCTGGCTGGCTATAGTTTGCAGGCCAGGTAGGGTGCCATTGTGCACAGTCTGGGAGGATTAGTATCAAAGCTGCGGCAACCAGGCCCTTGGTCTCCGGCTGCCATTCAGTCTTGCAGGGAGAGGCTAAGACTGGCCAAGGTCACAGTCTCCAGTGTGGAGTGGACTGGGAAAGGATCCTGAGAATAGAATGCTTTTTATGAAATCATGGCACAGGCTTGCAGCACAGCAGGTGCCCCTCTGGAACACATAACATCTGTTTATGTTGGTATACCGTAGCTGACAATGAGATAATAGAGCTTTGAAATGTATCATTTTATTTTTAAAAAGACAACGATATATACAATAATCCAGATGCGTATTTAGCTTCGATCTTTTATTTGAAAATCATAAAGAAAACTGACCGATGTAATGGCTGCTTTTACATGTATATGTTTAAGCAAAAGCAAAGCGTACTGACTATTAACCATTTGTAACCATTGCTGATCAGGAATACCCGAATTCTTGGGGAGGAAATACCTAGCATTCAACATCATTTTTTTCAATGTTCAGGCATTTGTGTCAACAGATTTTAGGATTTACTGAATATGCCCAACTGTCTTGACTATTAGATTTGGATCCCCCCACCCCCCAAATGACAGTATTCAAGGGTGAGGTAATAATGACGCAAAAATAAAATTTTCAACCTGGACAAATTAGAGAAAAATTAAGCTGTCCATGAGTTGTCATGACGACAGGGATGTTCTGTTGATGAACTGTCCTCCTCATTGTCCAATCAGATAGTAGCGCTGAAGCTGGAGCATGAACAGGAGAAGACGCACCTATTACAGCAGCATAACGCACAGAAGGATAGCCTAGTCCGAGACCATGAACGGGAAATTGAAAACCTGGAAAAACAGCTTCGCGCTGCCAATATGGAGCACGAAAATCAAATTCAAGAGTTCAAGAAACGAGATTCACAGGTAATTATCAATAATATTTGATAAAACGGGTATCTATTTTTAAAAAGTCATCAGCGTTTAATGTTTTCTTATTCTTGTTGATGCACGCTGTTTGATCATTTGCAAAACTGACATATAAATGTGATTTTTTTTGTTTGTTTTCTTCCTTCCATTCTCCCCCCCCCCCTTTTTAGGGATGAATCAGGCTTTAACTACAGAAACCACAGGTAGCCAGATTAAAAATCCCATGGCGCGCTATAACTTGGCCCCTTTCTTATAATCTTGTCTCAGTTCCTTTCATGATGGATTTTTTTAAGGTATCTGCCCCTTACCCCTCCCCTAAGCCTTAGCAAATCCCTATGAAATATATCAGCCTCACTCCTTGCTTTTTGTTTTAATCTCTGCAGGTAATCAAGCAGCTGTTTTAATATTTGCTTTTCCTTCCTAGTGTTGCTTTTTTTCATTAGATTCTATATTTGATTAGATCACTCAGATGGTAATTGACAAAAATGAGTCCAGCGAAAGGCTCTTTCCCATCAGGTCTGTTGCTTTTTCCTACATGCACATACACATGCCTCCTAGACTCCATCTCTGTCGTCCCTGTTGGAAGCCATTTGGCAGAATAACCCCCAGCTGTGGTAGCATTTGACTCTTCAAACTTATGGATGAAATGTGCACTGGCAGCATGGAAAATTATCTTTATAAATTTCAGATGAAAAAAATCTTATTGAGCCTGTATCTTTGTAGTACAATACATTCTTTAGGGTATATATAATCAAAGGCCTTTAGTGTATCCTCTTGAGGAGATTGCTGTGAAATTTTATTAAAGAAAAATTGAAGAGCAATTGATAACAATAAAAAGATAATTTTCTTTTCTAATGAAACCATATCATATATGAGGTCTAAATACCTCTTTTCCCATTGAAATCTAACCATGTTATCCACACCACACCTAAGCTTCTTCCTAGGTATCCTTCCTCCCCAAATAATATAATTTTTAAACAATGAAATAAACCTCCTACTTGTTATAATATGTGTTTCAACAATTTTGTAATTATCTACCCATAAAAATACTGCTGATTAAATAGATGTTAATTTCTTGAGTGGTGGGTGGGAGGCGGTAAAGCAAAGAATAGGAGTTATTGGTTATTTTTCATTTGACCTTGAGTCTTTGACTTTCGAATAATATCTGGGCAATATAAATATACTCAGCACAGGTCTTTTTGTCAGTAACATCAGTTAATAGGGAGATTATTTATAATTTGTTTTATGGGGGTTGCTAACTAAGAAGGTGGTCATTGTAGCATAGCCATTGTACTGGAATAGTCAGGTGGTTCCTGTTCAATCAACGTGTATTATGTTTTTGCCCCCAGCCTCATTAGAGCCTTTATAAAACATCGGTGACCCTTTGATTATTAGCCATACAATTTATTAAGAATATTTTCAAATTTACATTCTCCTTCAAAGATGCTGCTAAACCTTACCATTGTCTTCTATGATAAGTAAGATATGTGGGTTCTGAGTAGGGTCTGTAGGGTCTGTTTTCCGGGGAGAATCGAATAATTGACACAATAAAATACATTAATTTATATAACTTACTACTATTTGGTGGTGTTGTGGATAGCTGGCACAAGTGGAGGCCAAATTTAGAGGAAATCTTGGTGATTTCTGCATATGTCGTATCTGCCATATATAGGGTGCGGTTCATCCAATGATAACAAAAGGGACATTTTGAATTATTACGTACAATTAAGCCACAGGGAGAGTATAATAAGGTTATTAATTGAATTTCTTCTAAGTGAAATATTAAGCATGAGGACCGAATGACTTCTTTAAATGCTGGAACATAGGATTATATTTCTCATATTTTGTGTCTTTCTTGAAATAATTGGTAATGCTGTCGTGGGAATGCTAGTAAGCAATGGAAACAGGCTAAATGCATTCTTGATCAAAATAAAAATGATTTTCTGTATCATGTTATCCTGAGTTAATTTTAGAGAATCTATATTTTTAAATTTTATCAGCAAGTTATATTTTTAGAAATCTTATCATGTATACCAAAATGCCAATAATTTTTATTTATTTTTGGTTATTGATTGAGGATATTATTTCAGAGTTTCCTTCAGGTAAGCCCTAAATTTTCCAAATGTATGTTTTCATGATTGTGTTCTAAATAATCTAGTGTATAATGCCTTTTAAGTCCTGAATTCCATTCACAGATTTCAAAAAATATAAAATAAGCATATATATTTTAAAAATGGAAGATCTTTTTCAAATCACTCACTGTTTTGTGGTATGATGCAAAACAAACACGAGTATCTTAAATATTGGATTGTATAATTTTTAAATTTTGTTTCCAGAGAGGTTTGATTTTCAATTCATGTTTGGCTGCTCTTTTTTAGCAATGGAGGCCATTTTGTAAAAAGGACTATTTGAAATATTTAACCAAAGAGGATCAGTGAAATATTTTGGATACTATGGCTTTGTTTGCTGCTTTTCCTCCATCAGATTCCTGAATGCAGACAGTATACCAAAAATCTACTTTTGGCCACTTCCAAATGTATTATATGTTACATGTTGATATTATAAAGTACAGTTACCTACCATAAGACAAATCATATATTAACTAGGAAGTCCTTTTTGGTGAATATGTTATATAATTATTACAGGTTAGTTGTTATTCAAGTAATTTCAGTTGTATAAAGAAATGATAAGATATAATAATGCAACTAAGGACAATTAACCATTTCCTTCATTTTAGTTGGTGTATTTAGCTAATTATTCATGCATATATTTCTGTCATAATACCTTAATTTTCAGTGGTAGGATATTTTATGTTGCAATTTGCTAAAATGCACATGATGTTTACCACCCTCGTACAAGATGTTTAGTCTGGTATCTATTTAAGGTCATCAGGTTTAAGAAAAAGCATCCAGATCAGTAGATATCAAGACATATAGAATTTACAACCTCATTGTCAAATATTTCTCATTTGTCAAATCCTTCTTATTGAAATTATTTTGGAGAAGGATTTGATTGATTCAATCGTGTTTTTTAATAAAGAAAATATAGATTTTCATTATGATTATTCTGGGAAAGCTTCTTCTAACATGGTAGTTCTACATGTAATTCTTGGTTTGCTTTTGAACTGCAATGTAGTGAAAGAATCTCTGTGGTTTATTCCTTTGAATTATATAGAAATAAAATAGAATGTAGGTTCCTTGATCCCTTAGTTGATCTTTTAGGACCCTGAACCACTAGAGATGGCTTGATCTTGTATGTTTGTTGCCGAAGTGAGTGGTGTGTATGAATACTGTAGGACTATTTACAGAGAACCTTTGTGATCTGCTCCAGAGGTGGTGTCTCCATCTTACATGACAGCTGTCTGCATGACCTGTTGAAGTACAGACAAATTGAGGAGTCAGGGTAACTAGGAGTACGGCAGCTACTGTGAACCACCATCAGTATAATGCAAATTAGATACAACAGACTTGAAGGTTATCAGTGAGACCTAAAAATATATGGAACTTCAAGTTTATAGTAAAACAGGTGTCTCCTAACGATGGCAACTCAGTGCCTTTGATTTCCTAAATTGAGAATCATTATTCTAATATGAACAATATTTGCATAATAAATATCAGATCATCTTGATTTTGACATATTAAACGACATTAAGATGCTACACCTATCACTGATTCTAAAATGTGGGATTTTAAAAAATCCTCTTTTTCCTCTTGTCTATTTTAAAAAGAAAAGTTTTCCAAGCAGATATTTGTAATAAAATAATTTTAATTTTTATTATTTCTTAATATTATATCTCAACATTATTTTCCATGAATTTGGGCACAAGATAAAAATCACTATTAGTATAAATTGGGTGTGTGTGTGTGTGTGCATACAGTGAATTAAGCAGTGACTGTCATTTTTCAAAGATTGCTTAAGGACAAATTTAACAATATGTATGTTCTGAAAGCTGTTAAACCTATACATGGTATTTGGGCTTTTTTGGGGAGTAGCATTTTTCTATTAAAAACACTTGATTTTAATTTCTTTATATTCCAACTACTTTCAAAAAGGATTTGAGGCAGAATTTTATAATATACACATGTTTAAACAGATAAGATATAACTGAAAATAACAACTAAGCAATAAATGATATTAAACACATCAGAAAATCAATACTTTAAAAAATCCTTCAGTTAAGTACAAGTTTTGGCTCTGAGCTTGCCTAGAAGCCACAGCAAAGAGGGAAACATGATGAATTGTGTAATTCTAATTATCTAATGAAAAAAATTATAGCAGTTTATATATTTTTTCTAATTTTGAAAGAAATTTATGACATGGGACTTAATATGAAGACAGCTGACCAATATAACTAATGATGTTCTCTATATGTTAAAACATTTGGAAATAAAATCTAGTGGGAAAACCTTAGATTCTTTTAACTACTTTCACAAAATGTAGTTAGCAGGTTTTATTTTAATGTGCCAAAATTTTATTTTAATTTGAGAATTCCATTCTCAAAATCAACAAACACAGTTGCTTTGAGAGATCCAATTTTGTATATATTATGAATCAAAAGAAAGTATATTTTAAGTCATGAGCCTAGCAAATTCTAGTACTATCTTTATATATCTGTCCCAGAAACCCTTATAAAATGTCTTTAGGAAGTAAAAATTAGAAAAAGATTGGAAATAGTTAAGACCTTGATGTTAATTTCCAAGTGTGTTATTACTCTCTCTTTCTCATATCTGATTTATTTGTCCTCTGAATTTACACTGTGGGAGATTATAAGAAATAATAAAATCAACTGGTAATTTGGTCCAGGAGTATAGGATATTTGTACCTGTACTAAAATGGTTCACATCCTACCTACATAACCTGAATAGTATTTCGCCATCAATATTTATTCACTAATATCATTTGCTTGGCTTTTATTTCTTTGGGTCAAACTGGACTGATTGCTTAGATAAAGCAAACTATGAAAATTATATTTCCCCCCAAAGTAATGAGACTGTTGC